GACGTTCTTTCCTTCTTTCTCTAACATGCCTTTTCTATCCCCACCACTGATTCTGTCGCAACCCCTACGAAGTTTCCAGACGTGCCCATTAAGATCACCCTAGATGACCACTTTCTGTTTCGCGGTGTTTTGCGGTGCAATGTCTAGGCTCACCCAGCATGTCGACTTTTCGGCTTCATTCTGGCCAGTCTGGGGGAAAGGGGACCTGCGCACTTATTACATTCAAGACACCACTTTCTAAAGTTAGTTCAATGCGCATGATTCTGTCATTAATTCGGTTGACATCGAATACCTGTTACTGATTGCTATATTGAATACCCCCCCTCCCACTCAGTTTCATCTACCTGATATTCCACGGTAAAGAACTTTATAGCCTAGCCTGGTCTCGTTTGATTTCTCATCTTTTCATGCCGTCTCTTGAATATAAGCGATTTGAACTTTTCTTCTTTAGAGAGCTTCTACTAGCTTCGTACCCTTTCCTGCCACCAATACAATGCTTGAAGTGGCTATTCGCATTTTTTCACCGCGTTTGGCATGGCACTCTCTCCCTCTGTAACAGCCATAATCACGCCGCGACTAAATTCCTCGCGTATTTTTCACATCTTCGCATTTGCTGCTATGCGCCCCCCCCCTCACCTCGTTGAGGAACACCCTGACATTTTTTTACAAGTAAATTCAGCACAAATATCATATGTACAATTTATCTACGTTTCGGATCGCTGTGGATACATCTTCAAGAGAGATGACTCACAAACTAAAATATTTCCAAAATATGAATACGGATAACGAAACAGACTGGCCTTCGAAATGAGTTTAACCTCTGGGTTCAAGAAGCTTGTCTGCGTCGAAATTATTGAGAAAGAAACTAATTATAGGCACACAACAGTGAAACGGTGCTGAAGGAACTACATTTAGACTGGACTTGCCAGCCGTGCCAGGACTAACAAGCTCTCCTCAACCGCAAAATTGACTCTACCCATGACTGCCGTCAGTGAGTATACCTAATTCGGACAAATCAGCTGCTTCTTGAGTTATCGTCGCTTATTTTTAGTTTGCATCTCTATCATTTCTATCAGTCTTCGTCGGCAAACAGCTAATTGACTTTGCACTTATATTTTCACAGCATATCATTTTCCGTACTGCAGTTTTTACCGTGATTTTCTGGGTAACCTAATCAGTACATTAACAGACTGAATGAAGCCACTGTGGGTCCGAATGAATCCGTATGCTGATTACTGACTGGCTTTTCGCATTGCCCAGCAAGTAAAAGTAAATGAACACAAATACGTAGGAAAGAGTCGGAAAATTCATACTGTGCTTTTCATATATCGTAAATGTAGATACTGCATTTAAAAACGTACTTTACCCTGATGAGAAAGACAATCGCTTCAATCATTAACGGTACTAAATTATGGTGACGTGAAGATGACGCATCATGGAATTTTCTAGGAAGCCAGCGTCCGTATCGTTATCAGCTGCGCTTCGACCTGCCACATATTACTCTTCCAAAATTACAAATTTACTGAGTTCAACACATGCATCGAGGCAAAGTAAACTGCAAAATTACAAGACTTAAATGACAGCCATGCATGTTAATAAGTCTCGAATATTGAAATTATACGTAGCTAACACTGGACACGTGGACAATTAAACATCATGCGGCAATCACTTGCTTGTTTTAATGCTATAAGCGATTCATCTGCTAGAAAATGCTTTTATGAACAAGTTGACGCTTACTAACAAGCTCAAGCGTATCACTCACATTTCTTATTCTTAGAAAGAAGCTTCTTCTAAGAAGAATGAAACGAAATGAAATTCCAAAATAATAGTCAGAATCAGTTCAGTTCCACATCTACAGATACTAAGAGTTTACGGATTAGCCTTTCTGTCACACGTACAGAATACGTTCAGGTTTTAAAACATCTGTTTAGAGAAATAACGTATTTCATTGAATTGCACCAGCTGTACCGAAACGAGCATGGTCCTTATAACTTACAGAACGATCGTTAGGTATTAATGTGCTGTAGCGGGACTTATTTCTCTGGTGCTGCAAATTACTTATATTTATTCCGAATATCTAAAGCACGAATCATTCTCAATAGCCCAGTGGTTTTTCTCACACTGGATAGTCAGCGTTCAGGTG